CTCTTTTTTTCTCCCCTTTTCTTTTCCTTTGTGCTATTTACTTTCACATAAGTAAAACTTCTATTCAAAAATTATTTTAAACCTTTCATAATCAAAACACATAACTCAAAACTCCACACTATTTGTCAAAGATTTCTACACTCAAATCATAACTAAACTTACATAACAAATAATAAAAAAATTAAAATATTTTATCATTTTAATTCTTATACTTTATAATTAATAAATATAAATAATTTAAAATTTAATAAAATATATACTATTTATATTTAAAATATAAAATTATATTATATTTTAAAAATTAAAAAACACAAAATTTTTAATATTTAAAAAATTATTTATACATATAGTTATATTTTTTTAAGTTTGTGTTTTGAACATAATTCTCATTGAGTTGTTGTAATCTATTATATTTGATTAAGACTTGAGTTTTTGATTATTTTTTTTGAAAATTTCTAAACTGGAATTGTGATTCTAAAAAAGGAATCAATACTGTTCTAAAACAATTCTTTGGGTTTTCGGAATTATGTTTTTACTCAAAGAACTCAATTCAAAAAATTATTTTCAAAACTCATATTCAAGACACCAAACTCTCAAACTCTTTTCAAAAATCTCTCTTAACCAAACTTTATTCCAAAACTGTCTATTCTTAAAAGATGTTTTTTTTTTTAAAAAAATTTATATTTAGAATCATGATTTTGTAGTTTTATTTGAGTTCATATATGAGTTTTTGGCTACTTATGAGTTATGGAAAATAAAAAAATTTTGGTTTTATTGATAAAAGCTTTTGTAATTTGAAATTTATTTTTAGGGTAAATATTTCCCTATATTTTAATATATTTTTTTAATGTGTATTATATTTTTATACATTTATGTGCGTATATTTTTTTTAATTATGTTAAATATTAAAAAATTTTAAAAATTTTATTTTTTATTTTTAATATTTATTATAATTTTTTATTATAAATATTTTATATATTTTTTTTTGTTTTTTTATTTTTTTAATATATTTTTTTTTTTTTTTTTTTTTTTTTATTTGTTATTTTATTTATAAAATATATTTTTTATATTTTTTTTGTTATTGTGTTTATGTGTTTAGTTACGATTTGAGTGTAGAGAGTTTCGAATTATGTGTTTGGTTATGAGATTTGAAAATATTTTTTTAATTGGGCTTTGAGTTATGTGTTTGTTACAAGATGAGTGTGGAATTGTGTTTTAAGTTTAAAATATTAAAATTAAAAAAATTAAAATTTTTACAAAATAAAATAAAATATTTAGAATAAAAAAATTTAAATATCCAAAAATACTGTTCCAAAGGCTATTTGTTTCTTCCAAATCTGTCATCCAATCCAAAAACATATTTTAATATTTTAAAAGGAAGGGGAATAAAGTCATTAATTATAAAAAAAGTAACACCGTTTGTTCTAATTTAACAGAAGGGTGAAATCTAAAGAACGTCAAGTAAAGTAAGGAAAATTATTGTAATTATTGAAACTACAAGGGAGGTTATTGTATTTATCAAAAATCTCAGAAAATGTTAGTGTAATTTACCCATTAAATTATAATCTTGCTTTTTGCCTTCTTTTCATTCACAGTGAAGTTTTGTATTAAATGATTTATAATTTATATTTTAAATTTTATCATACTGTAATCACTCTGTCATTTACTATTAAAATTTTAAACAAAAAGATGTCATGTATAATTAGAAGAACAAACATAAATTTCAAGCAAAATTATAACGATTACTAATGTAATTTTTTTCATTACACCGGTGGTTATTATAGTTTATTTTGTTCTATATTAATGATGTTTTTGGATGATGAATTTAGGGAAAAATTAACAAAATGAAAAATTAGTTTTTTATTTTCTTTACCCAACCAAAAAGAGGGGGATAAATAGCTTTTGTGACTGCTTTTCTTTTCGTATGATGTTTTGCTCTTTCAATTTGCTTTCACTTTATAAATCCAATATCCAATCAAAGACTTACAATGATTTTATATTATCGTATTTACCTAAATTATCTTGTCTTAAAATTTAGAACTGAGAAATTATCATTACCTACACTAATAATATTTGTGCACATCTAACACGTAACGATAATTTTAAAAGAAAATGATATATAGGTTTATTTTTTAAATTTAATGATGTGTAAGTAATGTGATTGGTTGATGATTAAAGAATATGTGAGAGAGGGTATTATTTTTAATATCCTAATTGATTGTCACATCACTAAGTTTGAAAATTTAATTTATTTTTTTGTCCAAAATAACAATACTCTAATTTTTATTATTCAAATGCATACATGTATTATGACAAACCAATTATATATATAGTTTATCTTGGACTTATCACTTGTTAAGCAACCGTAAAATTGAGGTGCAACATTTTGTTAGTCATTTGGCTCATGCTGGTATTTTACTTTTTGAATTTTTATAAATTTTTTTTTTTATAAAAAAACATGTTAATATATTAAAAAAGAAAAAGAAAAGATAAGGAGTAAGCTTACACTACAAGAAAAGATAGTTAAAAACACGGAAGAATTAGCGATGGCGCGCCTCCCGTTGCAAAAAATGTTTTTTTGCGACGGCAACTTCAATCGTCGCAAATAAAGGCTTTAGTGACGGCGCTGTCCCGTC